TCTGGCCCCTCCATGATCTGGCCCCTCCATAATCTGGCCCCTCCATACTGACCCACCTACTCCATCACTCCTTCTCGTTCCCTCCGCTTCTCCGATGCCAGCCTTCTGTCTCTCCCCTGTAGGACCAAGCTCTGAACCAGGGGAGACAGAGCCTTCTCCATCGCTGCCTCCACCCTCTGGAACTCACTGCCCCAACAGCTTCGTGTCTGCTCTGATCTCTCCACTTTTAAGAAAGAACTCAAACTCACCTGTTTAAATTTGCTTTTAATGCTTAAAATTGCCCTTTTTAAATGTTTTTGTGTTTGAATTCCTGTTAAGCATCTTTGAGTATTTAGAAAAGCGCTATACAAATAAAATGCATTATTATTATTATTATTGTTATTATTGTTATTATTTGTTGAATTTGGTGTTTTATATTGATTTTTATTTGTTTTTATCTGTTGACAGCTCCCCTTCTCAGGAGACACCACAGCGAGCGAGAATGCATGAAGATCAACCACAAGCCACCGAGCTACTGCAGCACATGTGTGGAGCAGAGGGCTGCCATCTAGGGTGCCCAGGGGGGCAGATGGGTATGTTAAGGGCCTTGCTCAAGGGCCCACAGTGGAGCAAATGACGGTGGAGGCAGTTGTGGATGCTTCACCCTTCCCACCCAGATTTTTGTAGTAACGGTCAAGAGATGTGAACCTGCAACCTCCCTATCACGTCTCACCTTCTCTAACCTCTGCGCCACCACTCCCCTATATACAGTACTGAGTAATGTTTTGAATTCATGCAGACGCTAAAGAAAATGTAGTCCAGGACTCGAGATTTAAAGCACAGCTGGGTCTGCTCTCATTCACGTTTTTAAAATATTTAGTTTGCACAATTTAACCAACTGATCAAAACTCATGTGACATACCTGGAGTTGAACTCTCAACTAGTATTGATGTAAAATTCAAATTGTTTGGCTCATAATGTGAAATGTGTTGCATGCAGGATGTCACATAGTTGTTGGCATGAATTTGAAGGCAGCGACTGAGTTAAGAGTCTTTCTGCTGTTTCGAGGCCTCTGAACGTCTCAAACTTGTTTTTCTGTGCAGTTTGGGTGTTTGGTGTCAACAACAAAAAAAGTCTGTAGCTCTTGGGTTGATGTTTTTTCCCCAGTTAGATTATTTTACTCGTAAACCAAAGTAAATGATAAAGTCCATGCTCAATAATCCAGGTATACAATCCAACATTTTTCAGTCTGAAAAATGTTGCAAAGTAAATGATCATTTCCAGCATTAAGTTAAACCTAAAAACGTGATGTTAAATATTCAAATGTTAACAATATTTAATGCTTAAAGGCTGTTTTTAAATCTTTTCCCTCAACTCTGAGAATTACTGACAAAGTATTTTGTCTTTTTGAAGTCACTGATGTTCCAAATAAAATATTTCCATGTTTAAAACGTACAATTCAAGTCTTAAAACTAGCTCTGCAGAAAGATGCAAGCTTCTTTAGATATCTGTAAAACTGTTCACTGATACTTTGTAAGTTTTCTTGTTGGTGCAGATGATCCTTTATAATGTGCTGAGGGAAACCTAGGGGGGTGAGCACCACAGAGTTTTACTGCACCAGTCAAAGGTTTAACGTTTTTTAACCAATCCATCATAATTTGTTTTAGGTGTGTTCAAACCTTTGACCAGTCCTGTAACAGTACGTGCACGTTACTAGACTTGAAGTCACACAGCCAGAGTCAGACAGATGCATAATGATTTAAGGGTGAAAAGTTTAGAGGTACCCTGTGACGTCATCACCACTGAAAATCTCAGAGATGGGATATTTTTTCTAATAAGAATTTCATGTTTACAAATTGGATAATTTGATCTTGTGGATAAAGTCAGCCCAACTATGCCAAATTAATTTCAATGTACAGTCTTTAAGATACTCAAACCTGTAAGTTTGAGAGTTTTATATTAGTTGACGTGCATTTCTTTAAAGATGTACACGTTACGTCAAAGATAGCAGATAAACTGTGAGACTAGCATGCAGTGATGTGCTCAAAAAGGTTAGAGATTATTAAAAAGTCAACCCGACAGTGATGGTTTACGTAAATATAAAAAAAATAACATTACTTGTGTGATGTTTTTAAATGGTGTGAAGGAAATCCTGCAGGGTACCGCTGAGCTGCATCCTTTCTCACTGTATAAACTAATCATTTTCTCTGCATGTCTCTGGGATGTGTGCAGGAGAGACAGACAAGAACTGACCGTTCCTCCCGAGTCGGATCTCTTCGATGGTTCTCTTCACCAGAATGTAGACAGACCACAACATGCACACTACTGCTATCAGGTGAAACAACACTGAGCAGAAGATCTTCCTCCTCTCGCTCTTCGACATGTGCAGCTTCTCCCACTGGGGGGGGGGGGGGGGGCAGACGGATCAGAAACATGAGAGTTGTGGTTATAGCTGCGGGTTAGAACTCCTGACATGGTGTGCACAGCTCGGTGAGCCTCTTCGTCCTACCTTGCTTAAAGGTTTGAGCTTTGTTTCCATGATGAAGTCGTATTTGCAGAGTTCGCAGCAGCGAGTGTCCGAGGATTTGATCCACTGGTTGAGACAGGCCTGATGGACAAAGCTCAGGCTGCCGGTGCAGCGACACGGCGTGATCAGAGCGCACTCATCATCCCCCTCACAGTGGCAGATCCTGCACACAAACAAGGAGTACAATGTTTTAGTCTTTCTGGTTGTGTTTGTCTGTTGCAGCCTCTCTGATTGGGGACTGCTTAGAGAGGCAAATCCACCTGAAAAGGGTTTTGCTCTTCTGTCAACTCTAATGCGGCCCGAACCACTGCCCCCCCCCCCCCCCAGATATTATTATCAGAATGACTGGCTCAGCGCCATGATGTGTGATATTACTATTATTGACATTTTGAGTTACCATGGCGACGTAATTTGCAAACAAAGACGCCATTTTTCTAACTGAAAAACACTGACAGAACTAGCTTCTAACTGCGAGGTCACATGACACAGAGTGAAGAGGTATAGGAACAAAACTTTTGGAGCCATTTTGATTCAAGATGGCTGCCACAGCTACCTCAGAGAGCTCAAAATTGACTATAACTCAGTCATTCTTTGAGATATTTAGCTGAAATTTGGTTTGGTCATAGCTGAGAGCGAGTTGTTGGGGACTGCTTAGAAAGACATCCACCTAATGCAAATCAAATCCAAGATGGCCACCTTTGCCAAAAGGGAAAAAATATGATAACGCAGCTATTTTAAAATATATTGAGCTGAAATTTGGTGTGGTGGTACCTGACAGCGATGCACAACACATTCTGAAATCAAATCAAAAATTTTAAGTGGTTGCAACGTGGCAGTCCCCGTCAGAGTTCCTCCAGGAACTTTCTAGTTTAGGTTAAACGAGAGATGTTAACAGACTAACCTGCAGACCTCAACCTCAGAGTCATCTGAATCGGGTCTTGGTGCGCCCCCATTCATAGCACAGTGTTTCTGCAGCATGGGGACAGACATATCTCCATAGCCTGACCCCTTCTCCTGGTATTTCTTAGTGATGAGTTCCTCCCCATCATCTACCACTGAGGAACTGCCCCTTGGGCTCCTTGACTTAGAGCTCTTCCTCTCTGCTGCTCTACTCTGTGGTCTCTTTCTCTGTGAAACATCTGGGGCTCTCCTCCTTGAGCCCCTGACGTTGGGGTGCTTTTGGAGGCCACCACTGTCCTCCACCAGATGTTGATGCTCCTTCCAGTTGTCTGAATCCACAGACTGCAGCTCCATTATGTCATCCTGTCTGTTTTTACAGCCGTTTGTTGCGCCTCTCTCTCTGTGCGCTCGTCGCGCTTTCTCTTTGCTCCAGCTGCGAGCCTCGCGCCGCGCCTCCTCCTCAGAGGAGGAGTTGGACTGAGGGGCGCCAGAGCACCGGAGGTGAGGCGGGAGCTCCCTGCGGTTCCTGTAGGAGCGTTCCCTCTTCTCCTCTAGCTCATTTCGGTCCGAGCTGAGACTGCGGTCGCTCTGCTCCTTCTTGCTGTTGGCTTCTGCGCAGCCGAAGGTGCTGCAGCTGTTCTTCTTGCGGCGGCGGCGTCTCTTCACCTGCTTTTTCTGAGGCTGAGCCGAGGAGCTCAGAGCTGCACCGGTCACCGTCATTGTGGGGGAATTGTTTGTGTGTTTCAGAGTCTCAGAAGCATCCTCCTCTAAACAGGTCAGCAGGCTAGAACTGGACACACACACACACACACACACACACACACACACACACACACACACACACACACACACACACACACAGATGGAAATGGGTATGAACAAGAAAATGAAATGAAATGAAAAATACACAATGTGAACAACACAACAGGTTTTTTATGCATGCAGGTTCTGAAATATTCAGCTTTTGGTTTATTTTACATTTAAGTCAAAACAATGAAATTATATATTTTTTAAAAACATGAAACAAATTTAAAATGGGACCTCTAAAGCTTAATAGCATCTTTTGTAAAGCTATTTCTTTGAAGTAACAGACTTTAAAACAACAACACAGGGAAAGCCTGTGGATTAATGAGAGAAAAATAAAATCTTTGGATATAAATTAATGCTGAATTTCTTCAATTTAACACTTCAAGTTTGTGAATCAAAGTCTCCAACATTGTTTAAAGAAAAGACCAAACATGTCCAAACCTGGACCAATAAAACTTGTCCTTCCTGCAGTGAAATAAATAAATATCTTAGTTGTGAGTTTTTCCTTTTGTTGTAATGAGCACAACCTCAAATTAAAAAAAAATTTTTTCTTGAAATCTAACATTTTTCATAATTGAAACCTAGTTTGCATATTCAAACTATCTAGTCAGAGTATATTTTTCCTATATAAATATAGATAAAAAATATATAAAACCTGTTTTATAGTCTAGGGAAGGGGTGTACAAACTTTTTCATATGTGAGCTAAAACTATCAAGATGAAAGGACTCGTGGGCAACAAAAATGTGAATTTAACTCAACAATATTTTGAAGAAAATAAAAAAATTACTACTGTTGATGGAGAAAGAGGTGTAAATTGTTGTAGATCCAAAATGTTAGAGCTTCATAAACTCTAAGCTTATTTATTTTATTAAAAATGATTTGATTTATTTGATTTGTTGGGTCTGTGTTTGTTGTTTTCTTCATTTCAGGACTCTTGGATTCTCATAGACGTTATTCTTGGCCATCCCTCCAGAATGTTTATGGATCTCACCAGAGGACATTGACTGATTATTCCATCCTTATCAGAACCCTTACAGTGACCTCGAGAGCATCTATGAACATGCTCACCGCTCTCCGCTCCCCCCTCTGCAGAATGTCTACGTCACTATGTGCTTGTTTGTGTGAGGTGTTTTTTTAATATTAGAGGTTTTTTTTTCTCAGGCAGGAAAAAAAAAGTCTAATGGGAATTTTTTCGCCTCCAACTCCTACACGTGTCCATTTTACCATTTTTTTTGTCTTTTTTTGTCTGTCCAAACTGGTCTCACTTGTAAATGAGTCTTTTAGGCTCAATGTGATTTATCTGTTTAAATAAAGGTTGAATGAATGAATGAATTAATTTTAGTCTGTTCTCAGCGACATAAGCGTAATAGTCCTTTTAAAAAGGGGTCGATCAACCTTCTGGACCATGGACGGCCCAAAACGCTGATAGAAGTGCTGAAAAATCATCCAGCTGTCAGTCACTACAACAGATTCATAGAAGGTTTGATAAAGTTGATCAACTTGTGTAGCTGATACCACGTTATATTCATTTAAAATGTCCAGTTTCCCTCCTGATTATTTTATCAACTGCAACATTTAGCTAAGTTTTATGAATCATTAACCAAATGTCTCCTTTTTGGTAGAAATCGGTAAAAGGTTTTTTTTGTGTTTTGTACCATGTAGTGAAAAAAAAAAGATTATAGCCAAAGTTCTGCATTTTGTTTAATATTGCTCATTTTGAGAAGATTGTTTTGCTGTTAAACCTAAACATTATATAAAAAAGGATTAGCAACAAATTTGCAGAAAGTCTGCATCGACCTCAAGTCTGCTGGTCAAAATGATACCATTCTTAAACTGCAGTTGAGGGCCACACTTTGGACGCCCGTGGTCTAGGGGTACAGAGGAACATGTTTGTTCGAGAATGAATTAAAATCCCTACCAAGCAGAAAATAAACAAAGTAAAATAAAAATGGAAATTGAACCAGGGAAGCACATGATCAATTACAATGAAGTGAGGATGATCGATGATGGTGGGGGCTCATTCAGGAACACACAACACATTTGATCATGCTTCTACACTGAGGACACAAGTCCAAGCCTGTCATTGTTACAGTGACACCAGCTGCTGACAGAAACAGAAGAAAGATTTCTGTGTTTGGAAAACTCCCCTTTTCTGGTGTGGAATCAAATTTTCATATTCATTTTTTGTTTGTTATGCCCTTAAGTTATAGATAACATTTTATTGTATATAATAAAATAAACACTGATGTCTTCCTGTCTGAAACTAATTAGACGGCTGTCTCACCTGCATATGTCCTGAGCAGATGCCGCTATGGATGTTCTCGAGGCTGCGGTGACTCCAGAGTTGCTGACCTGAAACAACCAGTCTTTCATTAAATTTAACTCATCACACAAATAATCCTGATATAAATAACACGTCCATACATTTCTTTGGAGTCTTTGGATTCATAGTTAATACAAGAATAGTCAATTAGTAAAGCATGGATTATACAAACCGGATTCCAAAAAAGTTGGGACACTAAACAAATTGTGAATAAAAACTGAATGTAATGATGTGGAGATGGCAAATGTCAATATTTTATTTGTAATAAAACATAGATGACAGATCAAAAGTTTAATCTGAGTAAATGTAACATTTTAAAGGAAAATATGTTGATTCAAAATTTCACAGTGTCAACAAATCCCCAAAAAGTTAAGACAAGTAGCAATAAGTGGCTGGAAATAGGAAATTGAGCAGATAACGAACAGCTGGAAGACCAATTAACACTAACTGGGCCAATTGACAACATGATTGGGTATAAAAAGAGCTTCTCAGAGTTTCAGTGTCTCTCAGAAGCCAAGAAGGTAAGAGGATCACCAATTCCACCATTGTTGCGCAGAAAGATAGTGCAACAACACCAGAATGGTGTTACCCAGCGTAAAATAGCAAAGACTTTTAAGTTATCATCATCAACCGTGCATAACATCATCAAAAGATTCAGAGAATCTGGAACAATCGCTGTGCGTAAGGGTCAAGGCCGGAAAACTCTACTGGATGCTCGTGATCTCCGGGCCCTTAAACGTCACTGCACCTCAAACAGGAATGCCACTGTCAAGGAAATAACAGAATGGGCTCAGGAATACTTCCAGAAAGCATTGTCAGTGAACACAATCCACCGTGCCATCCGCCATTGCCAGCTGAAACTCTACAGTGAAAAGAGGAAGCCATTTCTAAGCAAGCTCCACAAGCTCAGACGTTTGCACTGGGCCAGGGGTCATTTAAAATGGAGTGTGGCAAAATGGAAGAGTGTTCTGTGGTCAGAAGAGTCACGATTTGAAGTTCTTAATGGAACACTGGGACGCCATGTCATCCGGACCAGAGAGGACAAGGATAGCCCAAGTTGTTAGCAACGCTCCGTTCAGAAGCCTGCATCACTGATGGTATGGGGTTGCATGAGCGACGGTATGGGGTGGCATGGGCAGCTTGCATGTCTGGAAAGGCACCATTAATGCAGAGAACTATGTTCAGGTTCTAGAACAACATATGCTCCCATCTAGACGTCATCTCTTTCAGGGAAGACCCTGCATTTTTCAACATGATAATGCCAGACCACATTCTGCAGCAATCACAACATCATGGCTACGTAGGAGAAGGATCCGGGTACTGAAATGGCCAGCCTGCAGTCCAGATCTTTCACCTATAGAGAACATTTGACGCATCATAAAGAGGAAGGTGCAACAAAGAAGGCCCAAGACAATTGAACAGTTAGAGGCCTGTATTAGACATGAATGGGAGAGCATTCCTATTTCTAAACTTGAGAAACTGGTCTCCTCTGTCCCCAGACGTCTGTTGAGTGTTGTAAGAAGAAGGGGGGATGCCACACAGTGGTAAAAATGGACTTGGCCCAACTTTTTTGGAATTTGTTGACGCCATGAAATTTGGAAACAACAGATTTTTCCCTTAAAATGATACATTGTAGATGAACAGATGCTGGGATATATTCATCATTTAACGCGAGTTCCTCATTTTTCTGGACTGAATAAAACGTGCATTGAATTTAAGGAAATGCAAACGTGAGACGTCATTTAAATTTGACCCATCAAAATGAATGCGGTCATTTATTTACAGAATCAAATTTAACATCAAACATTTACATTAATTTGGCAAATTATGAAAATAACAACATAAGCAATCAATCAGGAAAAATCATACGGCCATGATTTTACCGTTGCTGCACCACAGACATTTATAAAACTGTACAACTATGATCTTTTACCCACACGGATGTGAATAAGCACTTTACACAGACATTTCTAAATATCTGGGAGAATTTCTACTTCATAGGAAAGTTTAAAGATGGAAAGAAGTTTAGAGGGAGTAAAGGATGGGGTTTGAGGGAAATTGAATGTTACCAGAACCGACACTCTCCATCAGAAGCCCAGCTCGCCTCGGTACGCTTGGTAGGAAACTTGACCCATTACCTCTCTGATGATAATCAGCAGATATGGTGTTCCGTTAACGCTACCGGTCCAGCGTCTCCTTAGAATGGCTGTTGCCCGTCAGAAGTAGTGGCGAGGCTCTGTTCGACACACATTCACCTCAGTGGAAAATGTTATAATCCCATGGAACTCGGAAGAGCTTCGTTGTCATGTCAGGAACTCCAACAGCACTCCATCAGAACTTTAGCTCTCGTGTAGTTTACAGAACTCCCACAGAACTCTTGAAGTCTGACAACTCTCCAACTCTGTAACTCCGTGAGTCTCTGAGTCTGTGTAGACCAGGAAGTACTGACATTTTAAAAGACTCTTTCCCGGTTCACTTTTTGGGATTTTTCATTGGTCAGAAACGACCAGAAGGGGTGTGTTTTTGTGACGTAAGGGGTTAGAGACAGCGAGAATTGTTATGAGACAGCTCAGAAATGTTCTCACAGACCGAGAGGGTTCTGTTTTGGCGTGCCTAAGACACAGGTGCAAAACATCTCTATTTACGTCTGAGAGGATTCTAAAACATGACAGTTTTAACATAACAACTTGTTTTTCGTTTGACTGTAACCTTGTAAACGCACACACTTGCTCATTCAAAAGCAGAAATCAGAAAAATGCATAATTACTCTGCACAGCTTTTAACATGAGAATAAAATCCTTACTCAGTTAATAAAATTGATTAGTTCACTGCAACATCTAAAATGGTTTGAACTAAGACACTTTGATTATCAACATTTGTAAGATAGTAATGATAATAAAAAGAGAGTGTTCTTTTCACTTGAATCTTCAAGAAAGAAAGTCTCAGGATGGGTGAACCTGTATTTATGGAGTCAAATACATGAAATGACAGCTTCTGTCCCACAAGGTTCTAAAGGTCAAGAGTTTTGACCTTAGACTGGGTTTCGACGTAGGCTTAGTCCACTACAACATTCTCTCAGTTTAAACTTTTGATCTGTGATTTGGGTTCTATTCTGAATAAAATATTAGATGTTGGCACCTCCACACCATTGCATTCAGTTTTTATTCACAATTTGTTTAGTGTCACAACTTTTTGGGAATCCGGTTTGTAATTACCGGTATATACGTATATATTACTTATAGCAGCCTTACTGTACATAAATGTTTTCCTAACAACTAGCCAGATACTTTATGTGGTGCAGACTTAAAACAGTCATACAAGAAAATTATTCTTGCTAAAGACATAAAACCATGTAGCGTAAACCAGTGGTTCCCAAACTTTTCTGCTCCCCCCCTAGATCTATAAATAAGAAAATACTCCACCCCAACCCCCCATGGGGGAACCAGGAATGGGTCAAAAGCCAAACGTGCCGTCATCCAATCAGCGATGTCTCATGTTTCCCACTGGTACCTACCTCTTCTGCTTTCGGTTAATGTAATTGTGTGTTTTTTTTTCAAATGTAATATAATTTTTTAATTTGTAGTTGTGGTTTAAACTTCAGGGCCACCGTACTAATCTTATCCCATTGACCTGACATATGTTATCTGCCAGTGACTTCATCCATCTGCAGAGAACAGTGGTGGCCGTCATCATTAAGCTGCTCCTTGACATGTCATAAAAGCGCCTGCTAATGGTCTAATTGGACAGAGGAATAGCCCGTAGTTTGCTGGCTTCTGTGTCATCGATCATAGCTGAAACCATATCCATAGCACAGGGAAGTATCAATTCCTCCACAACTGTATGCAGCTTTTTACACTGTGCCATCTGTAGGCAACTTTATATGAGCTGAGTCGAGCATTTGCCTGCATGGATGCAGCTTTAGTAAAGAGACTGTTGAGCATGGCGGTTTATGAGTTTTTGTCTGAAAAAGTCAACTGACTTGTCTTTGTGCTCAGGATGTTTTGTTTCCAATTTTATTTTAGCTTGTTAGGCTTCAAACTGTCACAAACTAGCACTTTGAGAAAAACAACAGTCTCTCCTCATTACCCACCGATGTGCAAGTGAGGCCAAAGACGAGACATGCTTCGTCATATTTTCTATGTGGCAGTCCGGTCAAAATCCTGTCCAATATGATAGCAGTGTCCAAGCATTCATTTTTTTCCATTCAGTCATACCGTGCCCACCTTGCAATGGCTTTGCACCCCCCACCCCACCCCCAGGGAGTGTGTCCCCCACTTTTGGAACCACTGGGATAAACTAACCTTACATATGACCCTGTATTCAATTCAATTCAAAAATACTTTATTAATTCCAAAGAGAAATTACATGTTGTAACTCATTATCCTCATTTCATTGAGATGTAGATACTGATAGCTGTAGGCAGGAAGGATCTCTTGTAAAGGTCCGACCCACAGCAGATTTGAAGAAACTGGCCGCAGATGCCGTCCAATCCATCCACCCAGACTCAGCAGGCCTCTCAGTTCCTCTGGGCTGCAAAACCGCCCAATGCCGGGCAGAACTCCTCCCAGAGTAATGGCCACTCCTCCCAGAAGCCTGCTGAGCTCCTCGTCGCTGCGGACAGATGGCTGCAGGTGCCAGGGTATGATCCCGGTCCTTCTGCTGTCACGAGCCGTGTTTCCTACCATTTCCAGGTTCTCAGTAGTCAGGCACTCGGCAAGGAGACAGGAATGCATCCACGGCACCTCCTTTTCAACTCATTTGGGATTTGGGGCTGTAGCTGAGATATTATTTGAGCTTTTGAGATGTTAATCAGCTGCTCCCGGTTGTTAAACAAAAACACCTTGATGTTATGGTTACGCATCATAACAAATGTCCAAAAGTAAAAAGGTTTAAGTAAAAATCCTTCCAGCTGCACAGCATCAGATACCAGAGGGAATTTTAATTTTTTTTCGGCTGCTCCCTGCGTTAGGGGTCGCCACAGCGATCTATGTCACATGATGACTTGGAAGTTATTTTTACGCCGGATGCCCTTCCTGACACAACCACAGACCACCAAGCTACCACACCCTCTGTGTGGAGCAGAGAGCTGCTATCTAGGACACCCGGAGGAGCAGAAGGTGGGGGTTAAGGGCCTTGCTCAAGGGCCCAGAGTGGGGCAAATGAGGGTGGGGAAAGGTGTGGGTGCTTCACCCACCCCACCCACACCTCTGATGCTGTCGGCACTGGGGCCTGAACCAGCGACCCTCCGATCACAGGCCCACCCTCTCCAGCCTCTTCGCCACCACTCCCCTCATCAGATACCAGAGGAAATAATTATACAAAAAAGCAATTTACATCCAGAAAAAGAGGAATTAAAGTTTACAAAAGCAAAATCAGAGTTACTCCAACATGAAGCCAGCTCGAGTGGCGCAATTCTATAACAATGCTCTAATACGTGGCAGTTACCTTGGAAATGTTGCTGGATCGACTCCCTGAGCGTCCTGGTGCTTTCCTACCCTGCATCAAGAAAAACAGAGAAAAAAAAATCATTGGATTACCGACACAAATGAGGCTTTAATGACTCATGTAGTAAAATGTTCATTTAACTGACTGATGGTTTTAACTAGCGTTAAGCGCTTTGTAAACTTTATTGTATTTAAAGTGCTTCTTCTTCTTCTTTTGGATTTTCCCTCTTCAGGGGTCACCACAACGACTCATCCTCCTCCATCTCACTCTGAATCCTCTGTCCTCACTCCAACTACCTCCATGTCCTCTCTAACTGCATCCATATATCTCCTCTTTGTCTTTTTCCTGGCAGCTGCATTTCTAACATCTTTCTACCAATATACCCACTGTCCCTCCTCTGGACATGTCCAAACCATCTCAATCTGGCCTCTCTAACTTTATCTCCCAGTTGTTCAACGTGTGCTGTACCTCTGATGATCTCATTCCTAATCTGATCCATCCTTGTTACTCCTAAGGAGAACATCAACATCTTCATTTCTGCCACTTCCAGTTATGTCTCCTGTCTTTTTGTCCATGTCTCTGTCTCCAGGCCATACAATATAGCTGGTCTCACCACTGTCTTGTAAACTTTTCCTTTGACCTTTGCTGACACCCTTTTGTCACAAATCACTCCTGAAATTTTTCTCCATCCACTCCATCCTGCCTGGACTCTCTTTTTCACCTCTTTACAACATTCCTCATTTTCCTGGACAGTGGACCCCAAGTACTTGAAGTCCTGCACCTTGTATTTAAAGTGCTGCAGAAATTAAATTGATCTCTGACATATTTTTTTAATGCAGTTCTTTATATTCAATAGCAAAGCATGTACTTATTGGGGGTTATGTTATGTGTTTGTAATTGTAATTTGAAATATTATAAAGTTGACAGAAAAATAAATTCTATTGACAAAGACATAAAATAGTCAAAGACGTGCATATTTGACAAATTATTGTTTCAAGTCCAAAACAAAAACAAAAAGGTTTTGAAAAACCTTTACAAAGCCTTTTTAATGTCTCTTTTACCGTATTTCAGCGTTGCCTGATCTTACTGTATTTATAGTTTGAAATTCAGCGTCAGAGGTCACATGTTCTTGTAAATTCACTGTGACCTGAGACAAAGCCAGAAATCCTATTAGCATGCGGACACAGAACTGCTCTGTACCTCACGCTCTTATTTAAAGTCGAGTTAAAGCACTTAATGTAGAACTTTCCACAACATCAATGACCTCAACTCAACTGTTACATTGAACCTAATCTTCATTATTTGTAACCTGAGTCTGTCACGGCAGCACCTCATGCAAGTTTTAGTTACTAGAACACGGCTGTACACCTGGAATAGGTAAATACTGATTTATGTGCAAAGGTATTTAGTTATTCTAAATAACAACACTAATGTGCTTTCAATGCATGTCAAGTTTAAATTATTAAAATGTAATTTGCAGGATAAGAAGCCTGGCTGGGTGCCTTTCTGGGTGGAGTTTGCATGTTCTCTCCGTGCAAACGTGGGTTTTCTCCTACAGACCAAAAACATGCATGTTAGACTGATTGGTAACTCTAAATTGTCCCTAGGTGTGAGTGAGAGAGTGAATGGTTGTTTGTCTCGTTTGTCTCTATATGTCCCTGTGATGGACTGGAGACCTGTCCAGGTGTCCCCCACCTCTCACATAGTGACAGCTGGATATGGGTACCAGTGTCCCCCGTGACCCGAAAAGGAAGAAACGTGTCAAGATAATGGATGGATGGAAGATCAACAGTAAACTAAATTAGGTTGATGTCAACTCTGTGCAGGTGGAATGTTTAGTTGCTCACATTTTTTTAAAAGTTAACAAATCTTTTTAAAAATCAAGTTCCAGCATTTCGTGTAGGGATAAATATTCCCCACGGCTTTGCATGACAACGTTTCGAACAAAGATCTTGTGTGACTTGTTGATGCTCAAAGTATGTGCGGGAGTGAAACTCAGCTACTACCACACCAAATTTTACAGTCATAGCCATGAGTTTTGTGGCCATTTTAAATTAGTTTGACTCCAAAAGAGTAGTAAACTGTAGATTTACACAAGTACAGTACAGTTTAATAAAACCTGATCGATGGCATGAGATATTCTGCGAACAGATAGACGAACACACGTACTGTGATTGCCTACCTTTCATTGCGGCAGGCAATGAAAAAAAAAAGCCAATTCTCCAAGAAATTTCTATTAATACAGACAGAATGTACAAGTACACATACCAGTATACTTTATTTCCATGCCTGTATTAAAAGTATACTTTGTATAGTATATGTAATTTGTAAACGAGGGAGTGGTGGTGAGGGCTAGAGAAGTTGAGCCAGTGATCAGGAGGTCACAAGTTCAAATCTCTGGACCATTTTGACAACAACAACACAAAAAATGGTAGGAAAGGTGAAGAACACACATCTGCCTCCACCCTTATTTGCTCCACTGAGGGCCCTTGAGCAAGGCTCTTAACCCCCTTAACCCTCATAACCCTCCTCCACCATAACCCTCAGCACTGGCTCTCCTCAGGGATGTGTGTTGAGCCCCCTCCTGTTTACTCTGCTCACGTATGATTGTGCAGCTACCCATCCAGGCTGTCACATTGTAAAGTTTGCAGATGATACAGCGGTGGTGGGATGCATCACAAACAATGATGAGTCCAGCTACAGGCAAGAGGTGGAACACCTGGAGAGCTGGTGCAAAAAGAATAACCTTCACATCAATGTGAAGAAGACAAAGGAGATGATTGTGGACTTCAGAAGGAACAAAAACATCTACACCCCCCTGAACATAAGAGGATCTGCGGTGGAAGTGGTCTCCAGCTACAAGTACTTGGGTGTACACATAAATGACAACCTCAGCTGGAGCAACAACACCACCAGCCTGATCAAGAAAGCTCATCAGAGACTCTACTTCCTCAGACGGCTGAGGCGAGCTGGTCTGGGAAGCTCAGTCCTCACCTCCTTCTACAGGTGTGCAGTGGAGAGCATCCTGTGCTCGAGCATCAATGTGTGGCATGGAGGCTGCACAGCTGCAGAAAGAAAAGCTTTGCAGAGAGTGGTGAAGGCTGCACAGGTCTGTCGGAATCAGCCTCCCCACCATCACAGACATTTACACCTCCAGATGCAGGAAGAGGGCCACCTGCATCATGAAGGACTCCACTCACCCAGCACACACACTTTTTGCCCCACTCCCGTCAGGAAGGAGGCTAAGGAGCATTAAGTGTAGAACCACTAGACTGAGGAACAGCTTCTACCCTGAGGCTGTTAGACTCATGAATCTCTAACTAGAATAATCACTGTGAAAAACCATATCATGTTGCTGCTGATCTGTTTCATGTTGCTGCTGATCTGTTTCAATGTTGATGTGTTCATGCGTGCACATCTGCTCACAGACTCATGTTCATGTTTGTGCTGATGTTCAATGTTTTATGTTATGAGTGCTTAGTGTATATTTAGTTGATGTTTTTCTTAGTTCATATCTTAGATGTTATTACTGTTTTTCTTATACATTTTATTGTTGGATGTAACTGGGACCCTGTGTACATAATTTCGCTCCACCACATGTACCACATGAGGTGCGAATGACAATAAAGAATCTCTGACTCTGGCTTAACACCCCATCTGCTCCCCAGGTAACTTCAAAGGCACAAAGGTGGTCATTTTGATAATCTGAAACTTAAAAGTTTTATGTAGGCTCCAGCCAGGATAGATTAAAGACAGTCTAAAGCAGGGCTATTCAACTGGCAGCCAAATCAGGGCCACGGGTGAACAGTTCAGCCACCAATGGGTTCATTTTTAAATAAAACTAGATTTTAAACCATAAAACAAACTTACTGGCCCTCAAGATGATATGTGAAATGTAAAATATTTCTATCTCTTGAATTTTTTTCAGTAATCTTTGATTATGATGTCAAAAGCACAACAGAGAACATCAAATGAGACCAATCAAACTCTTGGTGAGGAACCTGTAACCAAGAAAAGATGTTGGGTATCTGATTTGAGTTAATAAAAACACAAAGTTTGTTTTCTCAGTCATCCAGGTATATAACAACAAAAAAGGTTGAATCATGTCATCTGGACTTCGTTTTTTTGTTAAAAAGAAACGTTTCGCCCCTCATCCAAGAGGCTTCGTCAGTCTGAGGCCTAGCCATCTGGTATTACCCAGAAGCCACCCTGACTCTTGTGTTTCAAGCCTGCCTCAGATACCCCTGAAGTCTGGCCTTTTCACTAATGGTTTCAAAAACACAAAGTTTGTTTTCTCAGTCATCCAGGTATATAACAACAAAAAAGGTTGAATCATGTCATCTGGACTTCGTTTTTTTGTTAAAAAGAAACGTTTCGCCCCTCATCCAAACAAAAAAAACAAACTTTGTGTTTTTGAAACCATTAGTGAAAAGGCCAGACTTCAGGGGTATCTGAGGCAGGCTTGAAACACAAGAGTCAGGGTGGCTTCTGGGTAATACCAGATGGCTAGGCCTCAGACTGACGAAGCCTCTTGGATGAGGGGCGAAACGTTTCTTTTTAACAAAAAAACGAAGTCCAGATGACATGATTCAACCTTTTTTGTTGATTTGAGTTAATGCAGATTCTGAAATTGGCCCTTAGTTTGAAAAAGGTTTTAATTTTGGCCCCTTTTGTAAGTCAGTTTGACACCCCTGCCCTTGTCTAAAGGTAAAGGTAAGTTATATATGGGTGGTTCTATTTATTTTTCTAATTTACAAGGACCTAAAATAACTCGTGTTTATGAGCCCACACAAAGGCTCCATTGCAGGTGTATTACAATTATATCGATAAAAAAAACAAGAGTGACGGACAAGAAAAGGACTGGAGATCATCAAGGGGATTTTCCAGTAGCCATTTTAAAACTGGCGGTCTGACTGGAGGCTTTTTCATGTGTGTGACATCACAGATTTATACTGCTGTGGTTTGAAGCTCATTGGGACAAACCAGTCACTCAATCTGAATGAATAAAACACTTACCGCCTCAAAGCTGTCACAAATTGAATAGAAAAAAA